CTTCCTTCCTTCCTTCCTTCCTTCCTTCCTTCCTTCCTTCCTTCCTTCCTTCCTTCCCGATATCCTTCTTGACCTTCTTGATATCCATGTCTAGCTAAAAATTATTTTTGCACTTCCCTTTAATAGCAGTAGTTTTTTCTCAAAAATTGCTCTAAATTCTGCTCAGTGGATTCAAGACTAGTATTTGGGCTCATACAGTAGGTTTGAAATATGTTTTCCCTTCTTGTACATGAAATACAAATCTGGGGTGTTTTATAATGCTTATTTATTTCTTCTGATATGAATACCAATACCTATGACCTGCTTTCATCTCTCCTTTTTGTCTGTTGGTTGGGGTTTTTTGCCATATTTTCTTTCTCCTTAGATCTGATTTGTGATAGTCACTCTTTAAACAGGGAATAAACATTGCTTTTTTTTATAAGCAATTCTTGGTCCCAGGCTGCACACGTTCTAACTCTTCCTTTTTCTAAAGATTAGGTTCTATGAATTCCTCTGCTTTTTAGTAAGCATACTAAAGATGGTTGCAAACTCTTCTTAGAAAGTATCATAAAAGATGCAAAACAGCATGGACAAAATATTTATTGTATTCAGAGGCATATTTATTTTATTTATAGGTTTTTCTGTGGTCTTAATTGCTGTAGGAACATGCATTAAAACCTTGTAAATAGTAACAAATTTGTCCTCAGAAAGTCCTGTAAGGAAAGGAAATATAATTTTTGTTGTTTTATAGATTCATAACCAGGGCAAACAGATTAAGTTACCTCTCAGTCTTCACACAAGGCATCTCGATGTCTACACCATAGGCAGGAATAGAATCCTTACCCTTCTGCATCTCTGCTTTTATTTCAAATACTCTGATTAGCTTTGGTTTCTCTTACAGAAAAATAGCCATTACTAAGTTTGGACATCTGTAATATGATATCTCAGTCGATCCTTTCGTATGTCAGACCTCCTGAATATAACTATAAAAGTGGGTTTTGATGATTCAATATAGTTTATGGTTCTTCAGCAGTTAATTCTTTGTCTGATTGAGAAGCATCCTGGGAAGCAGAGGGAGATTCTGGTCAGAAGTCAGGACAGAAATGCAATTCCTAGTGTGCCTGGTAGGTTCCATGGAGCTCTCTGCAGGAGCTGAGCAGACACAAGCACAGGTCAGCTGTGAAGTGAATAGTGAAGTCCTGGCTGTGTCCACAACCTTGAAGGTGTTGCTTGGGGCAGAAGGCCTGATTTCCCAGCCTGAGTAATGGAAATGAGCTTTTTATTTGTCTGTTCTCAGATGGTATTTTGCATCTCTTGACAAAGTGGCTAAGTCACTTGGAAGCCTGTGGGGAAGGAGAGGTGGCACTTTCCCCAGAGCACCTGAACCTGCTCCAGGGGTGGCATTGATTTGCCAGCTGTGGTAGGTGGAGCAAAGCAGCAATTCCAGCCGGGCACCTGGGAGCCTGCAGCTAAAGGAGAAACTTCTGAGACAAACCAGGAGCTGATGAGGCACAGACCTTGAGATGGCTGTTATAAAATAGACCTTGGGATATCAAATCAGTATAAAAGTTCATGTTTGAAGTCACACACTTTCATTTTTTTTAAGGTCTGAGGTTAAGATCTAAGCCCAATTGCCTGTCTTGAAGTGCTCCTTTAAAATCTCTTGGCTTATTTTAAGAGAGAAGAGATTTAACCCTGGCATGAAGGCTTAATTCCTGGCTGGGTGGTAGTAATCTGCAATCTAAGATGAAAAAACTAACATTAGTATATACATAGAATCATCTAGATTGGAAAAGCCCTCCAAGATCATTGAGTCCAACTTTTAAATGTATGTATCACATCATTCAATTATTTTTCAGTAAATTTTCTGTGTTTCTGGTTTTATTTTTTTTTCAAAATAAACCCAAACCCATTATAAATTAAAATCTACCTGTTCCTACCCAGCTGTTCAAACATACACACTGGGACTTGGGATTGTGGCCTCATCTGACTGTCAATCTGAAGTGGGAGGAGAGTTGCAAATATGTGAGAAATCATTCCTAAAGCTGACAGATGTATCTTGTCCAGAAGTGTCACATAACTCAGGATTGCATAATCACTGGTGTGATTAAAGAGACCAATGTCTTCCTTTTAATTTAGCTGTATTTTTCTTCTTCTCCTGACAGCTGTACACAATTGTTGCTTGCTTAAACTCCAAGCAAATGCTGGTATTCCTGATGTTTATTTTTCTTTATGTTTCCCAGCAGTTCAAATAGATTTTTTTTTCATATGAACATTTTTAATATAAAACTAAACAGCTTTTGCAAAGTTGTTTTTGGTTTCATAAAAACAAATATTTTAAAGAGGGGCTGAAAAATGGTTCATTTCCTTGGCCATCTTCTAGTTTTCCTTGCCCTTCTTTCTTAGTTCCAGAAGACTGTTAGGTGAGCTGACAGTTGTGTTGTCCTTCTCTAGCACATTAGCAGGGCCTCTAATAATATTAGCAGTCATAAACTCTCTTACAAATTTTCCTGGTTAGTAATTCCAAGCTCCTTGGCAGATGGAGGAGGGTTGAATATACTCTATAGCCTTCTTTTGATAACTCTTCATTTCTATTAAAACAAATGTTAAATTACGGTATTTTTCTCAAGAAGGTTAATAATCTAAATCTTGAAGTTCTTACTCATTTGACACGTGGTTTATGCCTTAAGAGAAGCAGGCCAGACCCCAAATCAGGTTTCAGTAGTTGAGTAGCAAGGAGCTGTTCTAACTGTGAGGAGTCCGGGCCACAAGATGAGAATGGGAATTTATAAAATACATACTTATAGACAAGATGAGAGCTGTTTAAATGCAAGGTTTAACAACACATTTATCTACATGTTTTAAACCCTTGTGAGCTCTGCCTTTCTGCAAAAGATGACAGATGGTGATCAGGTCCTTGGGGTGTACTGAGAGCCTTGAGATGAGGGGAGCTTCTGGTACTTAGGAACCTTCCCAAGACAAGCAGCAGTGAGCACATTCACACAAATCCAGGCTACAAATTGCACAGCAGACTGCCTTGTAGTGACAAATGTGTTCCTGCAGAATGAAAAACTTGAAAGCATTTTTTGAAGTTCTTTGGTTTTCAGATGCAAGCCTAAGTGACAAAGAAATTTGTTTCCTGATATACTTCTTCAGCAAACTGATTTTTACCATATTCCTGGTTTCAGATATTTTACCAGTCTTGTTTGGTCTGTACAATAGCTTAATAAGAACAGCTGTGATTCATCACAGCAATTTTAAGTATCCAGTCTTCATGGTACAGTAGCATGAATCAGATTTTAGAACATGTATTGCTATTCTGCAGTTAGTGCTGATTGATGACTAGGTGCTGAGGAAATATGGATAGCTAGGATGTAAATGTTCTAGAGGCAATTCTCTATTAGATGTTTACATGCAACTTCTGTATACATGTGTTTACTTCTGTTACTTGGCTGCCAGCATCCTGTGGAAGTCTCCACGGTGCCAAGTGGTAGCAGGCAGTCAGAAAACTAAATTAAATCTCTCTTTCAAGATGGGATTATAATATCTTAGTTCTGATGATCTTCCAACATCCAGTAAAAATGTGGAATTCTCTTTGTGATTAATGGAAAGATCTTTGGTATCCAGCCCTCTCTGAAGCTGGGATCTCAACACTGCTTTCCTTATCTTGCTTTTTGTATTTCTGTATAAAGTTTCCCCCTTTAAATGTTTGGTCACCTCACATTAATCTTTGGAGTTCAAATGGGATGTAACTTTCTTTACATGTTAATTTGCCATATGTTTGCTTTCTTAAGCCAATGTGATCTGAGAAGTACCAAAACAAGTGAGAGTATAAATCAGCATAGACCAAAGTTTTCTGTTAGGTATGGGGAAATAATCAAAAGTGTAGAATAAATCTTGGTGGCTGTCAGCTATGAAGTTAGATTCTCAGACCATCATAATAAATTAGGAAACTGGGAGCTGTGTGACAGCAGCATCAATCTCAGTCTCTTGTTTCTGCAAGTCTTCTTGTTGTCTGAGCCTTTTTCTTTTTTTTTTTCCAAATACTTACTCCCTGGAGGAGGTAATCAATCATAGCAAAGATTTCTCTACATGGAACATTCAGGAAAGTAAAGAATAAGCAGCTTAGAGTGTGAAGCTAATATGTATAAGTTAAATCCCATATGGATGCTCTTAGTCTGATATGGCTGTAGAGAGTGTCTTGGTTCAACAAGCTCAGAGATACTGCATGCTTACTGCTTTACCTGGTTTGTGTTATTTTTGTGTCTTTTGTCAATTCATCTTAACTTTCTCATAATAGCAAATTTCTGAGACAGTGTGGCCTATATTGATGTATACCTTAAGGGAAAAACTATAAAATACTATGCTATACTATAAAATTGAATTTATCAAAGCTTTGGGAGCTGCATCATGTTCAGCACTTACTCAAACGAAGGGAGAACGTGTGCTCACCTGAAGGTGCAGGATTCCAGCCTATAATGGGTGTGTCAGGTGTGTTATGGCATTCAAGCCCTCCCTAATGGAACGGTGCCTTTTTCACTCCTAGAAATGACATATTTCCAATTGAAACACTGAATGCATCATCAGACAAAGTCATCTGATCCCTGATTTCAAAGAGAGTCACTGTCGAGCTATGCTTAGAATGCAGTCAGTTCTTGGCAGTGTTGATTTATGATAAACATTATGATTTATACAGTCAAGAAACAGCCATCACAAAGAATATCTGCTACATAGTTGCTGACTGTATTAGAAAATGAGACCTAACTCTTTTCCAGTAGGAATGAGCTCTAGATGAAAGGTTGGTAGTGAATTTCTTGTTAAGTAGATTTTAGGGTCTCAGATTTCCATAGTGCCCTGCCTTTGCTGTCTAATACTTTCCATGAATTTCTGTATCTTTACATTATTCTTTGGACTTCAGTGGGCAGTGTGCAAAACTTGAAAGTATGGATCAAAACCAAGGTAAAGGCTTGTTTTTACTGCATTCATTACCTTCTGCAGACTTCAATTCAGTTCCTTTTCAAGCATCTCCAAATAGTCCCTGTTTCTTAGTGGAGCTGGATCAGAGCATAAGACAGTTTTGCATAAAAGAGGAGCAAGAAGGAACATGGAGTAGTTGATGACAGCATGTTTTAATGGGGCTTTTTTGATGACTGTAGCTAACATCAAAATAATAATAATTACTCATTAAAAAGTCACTGGACATACTTTTATAAGAATGATTGCTTAGAGAATTTGCAACATTTGGGATTAAAGCAAAATTTATGATTAAGAGCCTTATGAGATATGGAAAGAAATTATTAGAAGCAATTCACTCAAGTCTTCAAAAAGGACAAGAAAGAAGACCCAGGAAAGTACAGGTCAGTCAGCCTCACCATCCCTGGAAAGGTGATAGAGCAGCTCATCCTAGATCCACATCTCTGAGCATGTGGAGGAAAAGAATCATAAAGTCACTGGATGGTTTGAGTTGGAAGGGACCTTAAAGATCATTCAGTTCCACCCCCTGCCATGGGCAGGGACACCTTCCACTATCCCAGGTTGTATACATGGACAGTGCCAGGGATGGGGCAGCCACAGCTTCTCCGGGCAGCCTATGCCAGGGCCTCACCACTCTTACAAGGAGTTGCATCCTAATTTCAAATCTAAATCTACCCTCCTTTAGCTTAAAGCCATTTTCTCTTGTTCTGTCACTGCATGTACTTGTAAAAAGCCCCTCTCCATCTTTCCTGTGGTTTCCCTTCAGGCACTGGAAGGCCACAGTGAGGTCACCCCAAAGCCTTCTCCTCTCCAGGCTGAACAATCCCAATTCCCTGAGCCTTTCCTCCCAGCAGAGCTGCTCCATCCCTCTGATCCCTTGGTGTCCCTGCTCTGTCGTGGCTCCAGCAGCTCCCTGTCCTTGCTGTGCTGGCCCAGGGCTGGGTGCAGCCCTGCAGGGGGGTCTCAGCAGAGCGGGGCAGAGGGGCAGAATCCCCCCTCCCCTGCTGCCCTGGGGCTCTGGGTGCAGCCCAGCACAGGGGGGTTCTGGGCTGGGGCAGGGCCAGCTCTCACCCACAGCACCCCCAAGCCTTTCTGCCAGGGCTGCTCCCTCTGCTCATCCCCAGCCTGGATCCATCCCACACAGGGATGTGCCCAACACAGGGGCAGCACCAGCACCTGGTCTGGTTAAACCTCATCAGATTCCCATGGGCCACTGCTCAACTTTGTCCAGGTTCCTTTGGATTGTCACTGCACCCTCAGCTCGGTGTCATCTCCTGAGGGTGCCCTCGATCCCTTTGTTTATGTGATGGATTCTCCAAGGGGAAATCACACTTGACCAGTTGGATAGCCTTCTGTGATGGGATGATGGGCTGGGCATGAGGGAGAGCAGTGGATGTTCTCTGCCTTGACTTCACGAAGGCTTTTGACACTGTCCCCAAGATCTTCATGGATCCCCGGGGAGTGCGGGTTGGCTCAGTGGGCAGTGAGGTGCACTGAGCACTGACTGAACAGCACAACAGCAGTGCAGGGTCTGCCTGGAGGTCTGTCACCAGTGGTGGCCCCAGGGCTCAGTACTGGCCCCAGTGTTGTTCCTCTTACTCATCAGGCCCTGGCTGAAGGGGAGAGCACATCTGCTGAAGATCCAAAACAGTCAGGAGTGTCTAGGCACACCAGAAGGTGCTGCCATTCTGTGAGACCCAAACAGGCTGGGGAGCTGGGCAGACAGGAACCCAACAAAGTTCAGCCAAGGCAAGGGCAGGGTCCTGCAGCTGGGCAGGAACAGCCCCAGGCACCGGGATGGGCTGAAGTGACCTGATGGAGAGCAGCTCTGAGGAGAAGGACCTGGGCGCCCTGGTGGACAGTGAGCTGTCCCTGAGCCAGCAGTGCCCTGAGGGCAGGGAGGCCGATGGAATCCTGCATTTCCAGGGGCAGGGAGTGATCCTGCCCCTCTGCTCAGCCCTGGGAGGCACATCTGGACAGCTGTGTCCAGCTCTGGACAGGAGAGACATGGGACCAGCAAAGGGCTGTGTAGATGATGAGGGGACTGGAACATCTCTCCTGTGAGGAACCGAATGGAATCGGGCTCTGTGGAAGTCTGAGGGAGCAAGGCTTGGTCAGCCTGGGGATGACATGACTGAGAGTCATGTCATGATCTTATAAATGCATACAAATATCTTCAGGGACAAGGGGCACAATCTGAAATACAGGAAGTCTCCTTCTGAATATGATGAAAAACTTCTTTACTGTGAGAGTGACAGGGCACTGGAACTGGCTTCCCAGGGAGGCTGTGGAGTCTCCTTCTCTGGAGAGATTCAAAACCTACCTGGACACAATCCTGTGCAACCTGCACCAGGTGCCTCTGCTTCAGCAGGAGTGTTGGGCTAGATGATCTCCAGGGGTTCCTGCCAACCCTATCTGTTCTGTGTCTCTGTAATGAAAATATATTTTGTTAAATAAATAAGAGTCCATATTGTGCCGTAGGATGGAGCAAAAATGTTTGAAAAAGTTGAGAAGCTATTTAATTATTTGTGTTGTTTGTTTTGAAGGCATAATTAAGAAACTGCTTATGAAATTAATCAGAAACTCCATAAAAATTATAAGTATGACAGCAATGAAAGGGTTCTGGACCCAAGGATTTAGAGGGACTGGATTTGTACTGTGTGATCAGTCACATAGAGCTTGTTAGATAAGATGCTAAGCACTCTGGTCCCAGTGCATCAAAACTTCTGTGTGTACAACAGGTAAAAGTCATGATATCTTGCTGCCTGTACAACTGCAGTGCTTCCTTAAATGGGCCTGAGAGTGGCTGTATGCCACCAAGTGTTATTCAGTACTTAGAAAAAAACTCTGAAACTCCCTGTATGAACATGTTAGGGAAGTCTAAGAGACTTGGTTTTAGTCACTTTAAAAATAACTTGAAGAACTCCTCCAAACTATAAAACCTGAGTGGACCACAGGCTCAGGCTGTTAATGACTGCACATTGAAAGAATGTGAGTACTCATTCTTGTGCTCTGAAATGACATGAATACCCCAGGCAAGGACTGAGTTTTGCTTTGAGTAGATTCCAGCAAGTGTCCACTTCATCATTTCACACAGGCTACGTGTCTGTGTGGGACCTCAGGGCTTTCAAGTTGCAGAATTTGTCAGTAGATGGTCAGTCCATTTGCCTTAACATGTAAATAGTTTTCCCTCTGATTTATGGTTCTGTGCAACCAATATTAGATACCTCAGTGTAAAAGGTAAGAAGGTTTTCAGTGGATTAAGTTGCCCATAGAAAGTTCTGCATCATTCCCATAATTTACAGATTAATTTACTTGCAAGAATCTATTGGATTGGGTCCAGCACAGGGCTGTGGAGATGATCAGGGGTCTAGAACATCTCTCTTATGAGGAGAGGCTGAGGGAACTGGGCCTATTTAACCTAGAGAAGAGACAACCAAGAAAGGATCTTACCAATGTCTGTCAGACACACAGAGGGTGTCCTGGCAAGAGGTGGGAGCCAGGTTCTCTTCAGTGGTGCCCAACAGCAGGACAAGAGGCAGTGGGCAGAAACTGCAGCACAGGAAGTGTTTTATGAGGAATATGAGGAGAAACTTCCTTACTATGCAGGCAGCTGAGTGCTGGGAGCCCAGAGAGAGTGTGAGGTCTCCTTCCGTGGAAGATCCTCAAAAGCCATGTGGACACAATCCTGAGTAATATGCTCTAGGATGACTCTGCCTGAACAGAGAGGTTGGATGATCTCCAGTGTATTCTTAAGTAAGAATTATTAAGGTTTTTTCTTTAAAAATTGCACACTACTGTATAGCTGTTAGAAAAATCCATTTATGTGTTCCCAAGTGCTGGCAAAAAGAATATACAGGTCTGGTGAATTTTACAGGGAAGGTGGAGTTGAGGTTGTTGTTTGTTCTGATTTATTTTGGGTTCTTTGTTTGTGTTGGCTTTACACTATCAAGCTCCAAACTTACTAAATTCATGCCTTCTCTACATAAATATGATGTTCCTGAAGCCGGATTTTTTGACTGCTGTTGTTTTTCATTGCTAATTCCCAGCTCAGGGCAATGCTGGTCTCTCTTTATAAGAGGTGAACGTGGCTGATGTGTCCATCTGTTGAGTTGCTTAGCATTAACACAACTTCCTGCAGCTTCCATGTTCTAATGGGTGGCTGCTGCTTAGCTGGTGCACAGGTGTCCAAATTTTTTGTTAAACCCAAGTAGTCAACAAAACCCCAACCAACCAGTCCAGCTTTGTACTGTGTGATACAGCACAACTGAGCTGAGTGGTAAGCTAGTGTTGCCATTTCATGTTAAAAAAATTACTATTTGCTGTAAGATCTTAAATATGTTTCATGTGTTTCTGTCCAGAGAAATTAGAGAAAATATTTGTTCTAAGTACTGGATATTGTGTTGCTCATGTTTAGGAGAGTGGAAATGCTGAACTCATTTCCCAGGTGGCGAAAATGCCCATTTGCCCAAACATTTTGTGCCAAAGGAAGCATTCATTCTCTGAAACTATTCAGAAGCTGAGGTTGGGTTTATAAAACACTTTTCACCAATGGAGAGAATTTCAGGAAAATGTGGTTGTTTTGATATGACCTACAGAAAGGATTTCAAGACTTACAAAACATTTTCAGCACTTTTCTGTTCCCCAAAAGTTTAATGAGTAATTATGTGTCTGACTAAGCCAATTTACCTGAATAAGCCAATATTCTTCTACTCCTACTATAGCTCTCATTTCACTGTATTGAAATTTGTGCTTGAGACTCTCCCATTTCTTCCACTTTTCATGGACCTCAAGTATTATCCACATGGAGCATGAGAATGACTTCACAGCCTATTGGAGGCTGCAGTGCTTAGATTAAAATCACTCATCTGAATCTAGAGAGGCCCCTAACTGTGTTGCTGATAGATAACAATGAAAATCTTTAGTCTGGCCATTTTCTAGACTTTTATTACCAGAGCTCAGGAAGGAAGTACTTCAAGTGGTATGGACCTACTTGGGATGGAGTTACTGTCTCATTTTTCATGTAAAGTTCATTGGTTTGTTTAACCCACAGCAAAATCTTTTTTTCATTATTGAAATAATAACAATACAACAACAACAACAAGTAGGTTTGAGTCAACCCAAACCAGATTTTTTTAATCTTAGTAGAATCTATAAGTAAATGTAACAGGAAGTAGGTATAGGCAATAATTATCCTGGAAGAAGGATAGTTCAGTTCAGTTTGCAGCAGTTAATGATGCTGAGGAAAAAGACAAAGTAAGGAGCATGATGATAATAGGCTAAATAATTTACTTACCTTGATTTTTCCTTCAATTGATCTGGACTGCTGCTTGTTTGTGTCTGTAATGATCTTCCCTCCACTAGTTTATGGAGTAATGTTAATCCAGCATTTGCCTTTTGGACTTCCTACATATAGATGTCAGTGGGAACTGCAAACTCATACTAAAGGGGCTGTGGATATCTGTGCCTCACAGAAAGAGCTTCATGCCAAGCTGGAGGCTGCTGGCATTCCCTAGACGGTGACATAGATGAAAAGAAGTGTGATCAAATTCACACAGAATTGCCTTAAAACCTGAATCAAAGAGTGGATAACATGCACAAATAATTGAGCAGGAACTTGGTTGTGTTTAGGCACTGTTGTCAGGAGGCCACCTGTGAAAGGATAGAAGCTACAACTAAGGAGTCACATTCAGGACTTGGACGTTTATTTTGGAAATGCTAAAAGCTGTGAAAAGGGTTTTAGCTCTTAAGAGGACAGAGGGTGGTGCCCAGTTGTTTAAGAAAGGAATAAACAAGCGACATCAAGAGAGTTGAACTTGGTGCAACATCCACATAATATCCATGGGGCTGTTAGCTTTAGCTCAGCACATGGGCAGCAGTCACATGCAGCAGAGTTAAACTGTGAGTTACATGTGTGTTTCCTAGCTGTACAGAGCAAAGAAGTCTCTTGTAGCTGCATTTATGCCGTGTTTGCATACTGTGAAATTTAAGACATTCCACTGTGTGTCACAAAATAGCTCCAGAAATGATTCAAAGCATCCTTTTCAAGTTGTGCAGGCAAAGAAGAAGGCCAGTGGGAGTGGAAAGGTGATTATAGCCCATTCAAAGACTAAATTCTCCAGGACAGATCACAGCCAACATTTTAAGTGTTCTATCCTTGTACATAAGAAAAGAGTTGTTCTAGGGATCAATTAATTAATCAATTATTTTAGAATGATTGTACTATCGTCATGCAGGAGCATTCTTGTGATTGTCTCTTTTTTTTCAGTTTGTAAAATGTGCTTTATTTCTCTGGGAAAAGTAGTTTTTCACACTTTTTGTTGGTTTGGGGGGTGTTTTTTATGTCTAGTTCAGTAAACATTGCCTACTGTAGGATCCATCTTCTGCAAGTGCATCTTTTCTCGCCAAGGGCTCTAGTGAATATTTTTGCAGCTGTGGGAGTGAATGAAGCATTGAATTCAAGGCTGTGGTGCCCTTTCTCCTTTTCTTCACCAGATTTTTCAGTTTCTGAAAGGAGGAGATAAAAAGTAGAATCTAGCCTCATGTGCAAATAACAGAAAATTTAGGTCCAGCTCTTACATTTTTGGTGAAATCTGATTTCAGATCTGCTGGAGATTCAAGTGCTGTGCACAAAAGCAGCAACGTCTCTTGCCTCTATTATTTCTCCTGCTTGCTCATATAAAGTCAATCTAAGGAAGATGGTTTGGCAGCTCTTTCAATTAGCAGTGGTTCTTGTTTCCATGGCCCCTCAGCTGCTGCAAGGGATCACCCTCCCCACCTTCCCAGCGTGTCACTGCTTGTAGGAGCGTTCCAGCAGGAGCACCTGCCTGCAGCCTCTGATCTGATACCACTCCTACATGCCAGATTTGCTCTTTGGACTTACATGGGTATCTTGAGATCCCATCTTCCAAGACACCCACTCCAACAGAGCATCACGGTACTTGGAGGATTAGAGAAGTGAGAAGAGTGTGTTCCAAATGCTGCTGTCATTAAAGGTTAACTCCTAGAAATGAGCACATTTTGTTTTAAACATGATATACTAAAGTCATTTGAATTGTTTCTGTGATTATCTTATTTGTATGTTGCTGTGCTTCAGGGTTCAGAATAGATGAGGGAGACAGTACAAGGCTAAGAGGGATTTGTAAGATCAAGAAAAATTCAAAAAAAGCAAGTAGTGAATGAATATTTACTCTTTCTGACAATAATGGATTCTGGGGGCATTCATCCAGACTGTGAAGCAGCATTTTCAAAATAAATACAAGTGTGTCGTTTTTATAAAACTTAAAGTATAATCTCATAATTGAATTGCAGAAGTAATTTCCCCATCGTGTTGGGCTTATTGGAGATTAGAGAAATCCACATATCCAGTAGGAAAATGGTCTAGGAAGTGATTCAGGAAAGTTGATAGGTGTGTGATGGCTGAAACCTGGGAGAACATATCTGTAATGGTTCTATCCATCTTTACAGTCTTCTCCTGAGTATCAGCTACAAGGACAGTGTCAGAGATGCTGGGCTAGATGTAATTTTGGTATAATTATGACTGTAGTAAATACAGGAATGTGTTCGGGGTTTTTTTGAAAATTTTAATTAGACTTTCAGCCACCTTTCTGACTAGAAATACTCAGAATATAATGTTTTTAAAATTCCAGAATCAGGCACCTACATTTTCCAAGCCTGTGGTTGCTAATCTTTTCCTGTACAATCCTAAGTGGTGTTTTGTTGCCAAAGTTTGAGAAAAATCTGCAGTATTGCTATGAGTGCTTCGTCTTTCTGTCACAATGTTCTGCACTGGTAAAGCAGGCATCTTAGAGACATCTTCCAAAAGTTTCCAAGAGTAGCTTAGAGGAAAAGAAATAGCAGGATCAGCTCCCTGGATCATGATCAAAATCCTGTTTTTAGAAGTCTCGGTGCTACAGCAAGTACATTTTACTATGGTTCCCAAATGGTTTGGAGATTTTGAAGACTCAGATTTATGAGGGGCTTAAGTGTTTATCAAAACGCTGACATGAAAGAGAAATGTCAGAAGGAAGGAAGAGAAGATCAGGGGAGGAAGAAAACAGTGGACATACTGTTCCTGGCATTGACTCTGTGTAGTGTTTCCACTTCTGTGTCTTCCTGCTGGTGGTTTTGGTTTCAGGTACCCTTAGCAGACCTTTCTCCCTCCATGGTATCCAAAGAGGACACTATGCTGGAAGAGCTTCTTTAGGCCAAACTCTGCAGGAAGCTCTGTGCCAGATCAGGGTGAAACACCAGTGAAGTTAATTTGAAAAATTCATCAGATAACTTAAATGAGAAACTGAAAACATTTGTTTATTTAATATATAAACCATTCATCTTTATCAACTGTAATATTTCCTACCCTTTGATACTGTTCCACACTACCACTCTCCAGAGGATCTCATCTTACTAAGGTACAGAACAAGAGTTTGATTATATGAAGGCAGTGGGCCAAAAAGCTAGAGGTCTTATGCAAATTGAAATCTGCATTGATTTACATAATGCTTCTGATATATAGATATAGCTATATATGTATGCATTTATGCAGCCATTATCTCTCTCTGTTGAAAGATCCTTCTCCTTTCCCAGCCTTTCCCTGAGCTGGCTCTTGCCCTGGTCCTGCTTGTCCTTGGTGAGGACTGGTCACTCTAAATCCAGGAGCTCCTCTCCCTGCAAACATAGGTTTGTCACTGTAAATTCTGTAGCAGCAATTCTTGCTTTTGTGCTGGTTGTCATCTGAGCTGTTTATTTGTGCTGGTAAGGAGCAGCTAAGAGCTGTGGAAACTGAGCTAT